AAATGACAATTTTTGGAGTCATTGCACTCAGCCAAGAAGTAAAAGCCCTCCCATAACCTAAAAACTCAGATTTACAAGGTTTTTGTACAGATTACATTTATTAACACTTAAATTAGTGAACCTTTGAGGTGCTGGTAGGAACATTTTGTGACTTCTGGCCAGAGCCAGGCTAGCTGTTTCCAGTCTTTGTGCTATGCTAAGCTTACTGGCTGCTGTCTCCATCATCATATTTAATGGACAGGCATGAGAATGGCATGAAACTTCTTATCTAACTCCCGGGAAGAAGGCAAAGAAGCACTTCAATGGAAGTACAATTTACATTACTCTTAAACTAAATACACTCGTTTACACCTTTACAGCTAAATTTACAAGTGACCTCTTTGTAGAGCATTGCCAGCTTAATCAATCAATCAATGTGCAGAACACAGAAACCATAATTTCACCTCTGAGTGATTCTGAAGTAAACAAGACGACATTTTAAATATAAACTTCTAAATGTAACAATACCTGTGTGGGCATGCTTGAGGAGTTTGAAGGTTGTAATTGAAACTACTCATCAGTGTCAATCCATACTGTGATTGAGCATACTCCACTGTACGTGCATGGAGTATATGCGTTAGACTGTACAAGAGATTGCAGCACTGTGGTCCTGGCTTAGTAGCTAATCATTGAGCTTAACCTCCTCTGTGCTCCTGCCCTGCCCTGCATTGACCCAATTCCCAGGACTTAAGTTACCAGCGGTCTCCCTGTAAGACTACATGCAGTTCCTGATGCACGCTGAATCCCTCTGATAGCCCATGCACATCTCTTTGACTCAGCATGCACGACACTTTCACTGTGACACAGGAATATCAGCAGAGCCAGACACACAAACAATAAAGGTGACATTTATGCGTCTATTGAGACTCGCAGAATCATATTTAATTTGGAGCAGAAGGTTTTGGAGCAGAAGATCCACCTATTAACCACAGGAATTTCCCCCTCAGCACTACTTTGAAAGTTCACCAGTGAACTGTCACCAGTTTAGGCTCTCCTTGGATGATTCTGATTGTAAAGAAATTAAAACACTCCCAAATATGTTATTACTTTCACCACAACGATAGTGAAATTAGATTAAACACTTTTGAATTTATTTAATCCAAGCACAGTGCAGATGTTTCAGCTTGGCAATGTAAGAGTGGGGTTTTCTCAACACATAAACTGCAGTGGATTATTGCAAATTGCGGTTTTTATGGTGAAAACCCCCACGCCTAAGCAAAACAGCCTGGATGATAAGCATTTCTAAATTGAAGTTTTAATCCTTAATCCTTGATTTGGCAACTCTTTAGGTTAAAGTAGTAACAGCAGGTGAAGTTTAATACAACAGCAAACACTCTTTGACCAGCAACTTTGTCAGAACAACAGAGGAGCAACTAGTATTTATGTTTAGTCCAACCAAACAAACGCAAATAGTATGCATAAGTAGGCAGTTTGGATACAGGGTGGTGGACTCAAACGATGAAAACTACTATATAGGGTGATACAGAACGTAAACACATTGAATGGCTGTTGCAGAACAAAATATTAAAACAGAAAAAACATTTTTAATGCCTTCCACTGATGTATGTTTTCCATAAGAAAGCTTCCTTCTGCTTTAAACTTAAAGTGTTAGAGTCTGCATTTAAAAACATCTCTCTACCTGCAACCGCTCGTTAATTAGTCTAAATGAAGATATATAGTAAATGCACACTTTCAATAGGAGTCTAGGAAAACATTTCCCCCTCAGGCAGATCGGTAATCATAACCTGCAACCATAATCATGCTTATTCTATGCAGCATTTTTTCCACAGGACTGGATGCAAGACAGCCATGTAATTAGTCTTTTCAGTGTTTATTAGTACTGAGTATTAGCTTGACCTGGGGATCCCTGGGTTGCTCCGTCTGGCTTCTCCATAAGACCCTGCTAATACCACAGCCTGGCAATCTGGGAAACACAGTGGCACCTGGCTATTAAGACCAGAATTGGGCCAAGAATGAGTAAAGAAATTCAATTTCCAGCACCGGTAATAGAGGAATCATGTTTGTTTTCAAGTCTGCTTAATGTATTCAAATATTTTTTTTTTTTTAAATAAAGTCTATTCTTAGAAGCTTTGAAGGCCCCAACCTGACTGAAGCACTAATTACAGACTGGTGTAGTGTGTTGCAAAAGCCTGCCTGCAGTGACAGATGGTGACAGGGTTGGTAGTTTTGGATTGATTCCATTGGTTTCTACAGGCAAGCTCAACCAGGCACAGCTTTTTTATAATACCAGTTGATCCACGTCTGATAACGACGCAGATGGGTAAAAGCAGAGACAACATGGGAATCCCGGCTCCAGACTGCTTGTGACGTTCCCATGATGCAACTGGGATTATATGAAACTGACCGTTTTCTTTATCTTAAACCGCAAAATACTTTAAATTTTCTCTCAGTTCTCATCATTTCTTGAAACAGATTCTAAGATGGGTGGGGTTTTTTACATTAAATGAACAGCTGATATTTGAACAAAATGTCAAATAAAACGCGGCAACTCAGAGGTCACAGTGTGCATAATTGACCAGAACAGCCATCCTGGCCTTCGATTAGTTATGCACAAGACCAAGAAAATCCTGCCTAATGCCAAGTATAATGAAGACTGTGTAGACCTTTCAAATGAGCTGATGCTGTCAGAACAACTAAAACACTTTAGCATCGATTTGGTCCAGTATTAAAGCAGACGTTATACAGTATAGAGGTATAAATAGCTCAGAAGTGTTCAACAGTGATGGTGCACTTGAGTAGATTTGTGCTGTCAAAGCAACAGACAGACTTAAACATCATGAGAAGACAGCAGTTAACTATTTTTTTTTATTTTTTTTATCAATAAAACATAACCAGGGGAAGATGGGGCTCAAAGAAACATTATGGAGGTAAGCTCATTCTGAGAGGAGTATCATTTTTGTTTTGTGCTTTTGGGATTAAACTGAATGCAACACGGACTATTTTCTACAATTAAAACTGTGGTTCTCAACCTAGAGTCTGGGGAAATCTGGGCCAAAAAAACACTAATATATGCAACACTAATATATGCAGGAGTACAAGTTAGATGGAGCATGGTCAAAACTGTATGCTTCTCTCCACATATCTGAAACCTAATTAAATTAGCCTCCTGAAGTACCAATTACTTCAAAATAAAGATGCCATATCTGGTAGTTGGAGGAGTAAAAACACAAATATGTATATACAACTGAAAAAGGATTCCTATAGTGTAAATACATTTTACAAATATTTTACCTTTATTTATTCAGGAACAGTTCACTGAGCATGCATCTTCCACCTGAGCAACAACCCGCGTCAAATTCACACAGACGGCAGCCGTCCAACAAAACAACTTAATTTCTTAACTTCTTAACTTAACTTCATTATGATTAATAGAGATGGATAAACAGGGGAAAAAAATTGCTGTTAGACCATGGTATCCCTGGGTAAAACTTTATTGTATATCCTATATAGCCAATTAGATTTTGTATGTATGCATGGTTAATTAATGAACATTTATAGAAATTAAGAACATAAATAGCTCAGAAACTGCACCCAAAAGACACCAGTTAATGTTTTTTCATTCTCTGAAGGCACGAAAAACACATTTTTCGACCGGTCCTGATCTTGATAATTGCAGAAGACTTTTTGTATTAGGAGCTGCCAAATTTATCTGCAGACATAAGAGATGTCCCCTAAGAAATGAACCCCTTTCTCAACATCTGGTCATCCAGATCTCACACAGCTTTAATGCTTTTTATTAAAAATAAAAATAAAATAATAAAAACACTCAAATCAATCATCAGCATCCGTACTCAGAAATGTCAGGATCACCTCCTTTTTCTGTGTTTCTCCTTATTACCGTGTATTGAGTCATTTCTTTGTCCTGGCTTAGCAGAGAGAAATGTTCTTATGCAACCACTGTGGCCATTCAAGACAGACAAACAGACAGGCGTGCAGGCAGGACACTGACACTCCCCCATCTTCCACTTATCCTCCATCCTCCACCAACATGCTTTAACATCTGCATCCCTATGCTACTCCCAACCACACACTTTAAAGCTTAATCACAGGATTTACAGTCATACATCTCTCCTCTCTCTTCTCTCCTCTCTCTCAAACCCTGCAACCCACGCACACACACACACCCATGAGTGGCAGTGTTCAATGCATACAGGAAGTTGAGTCACATACATATTCACACATACATAGAGGAGGCCTGAATGATTCACAACTGCCTTTGCATGTCACGATGGCTCTCCTCAGTTCTCGACACCCACAACAAACAGCACACCAGGGCACGGTGGAGGAGACATGGAGAAATCCAGATGGAGGATTAACCATGGCATTTGCCACAGAAATCGGGCTTTATGCGTCACGCTGGCGTCATTTTTAGTGTATAGACTTAATGTTGACGTGCATCTCCGCCTCGGCTGTAGCCAGGAAGGGGTGGCAGCGGGAGGGGGCTTGCCGTCGGTCCGCAGATTGGTGCGCAACGCCATTACAGACCACCCCACTCCGCTTGGTTCATTCATAAATACCAGAGGATCGCCATCTCGCAGTGGTGCCATCATTTCACAGTCGCAGCGACACCCCCCTCCCTCCCCCCCACACACACCCTCCTCCACCTCCCTTTACTCCTCAAAGCAATATGATAAACCCAACACCCTCATATCTCTGCCCTCTCTCTTTCTCTCCTGCTGACTGCCAATATGGCTGTACGGGAATAAGCTACATACATTTCACACGACCGAGGTTATCAAACACAAATCTGAAAAGATAAAATCAAACCAACAGCAACCAGATACATAAAGAAAATGAGGTCTGCTGTCCCGTTTTTGGCCGTGAACAGCAGGCACAGTGCGCGCTCAACAGTCAGCCTCGCAGAAGCACCGCGGTTACGCCACTGAATACCAACATTTAACCTCCATGTAAAGATGCGGGGATGAGCAGCATCTCCATACCTGGTCGTGAAGTATAGCTCCGCTTCAGGCTCGTCCTTGGTTTAGACGGATGAAAGACAAACGCCGGAAGCGTCTTAAAGCATTTTACACGGTTCATGTAGAGCTCATGTCGTCCAATTTCCAACACCACCACAGCAGACTCTCTCTCGCTCTCTTTCTCTCGCTCCCTTTCTCCCTCTCTCGCAGATAGGACGTGGGAGGTGCTATGCCCTCTCCCTTTTCTGTCCACACATGAATTTCTTTCGTTCATACACTTCCTAGTGGTTGAGTGACAGAAAAATAAGCTATAAAAAAAGGACTTCCTCTAAAAAAATATATATATAAACAAAAAATAAAAGTATTTTATCCTGGATTGGTGCAAGGATGTGAAATTGACCACAACTGCTTCTTCCAAAACTTAAAATTAAGACCCCTGCACAGGCAAATTAATCCTAATATTCACGTGTGCGGTCACAATTTAATCATATATAATATCAAATATCGAAGAAACCTGGAAGTAAAAAACACTGATGATCCCTGAGCAACAGATCACATTAAAGCAAATAGAAAAAGAAAGAAAAATGTAACCTAAGCAGAGCCCCGTTTTATTTCCAAATGATTGTGTCAATGTTTCAGCCACAGCAAAGTACAGTGCCAGATATCTCCAAGGCCAAGGCAGATTTATTTATTTATGCCAGATTCACTTTGTGTTATAGCTGCAGAAATTACGACGATTAAAACTTTAAAATTAGAGTGAAAATATGTGAGTAAAATCTGAATTGTGTTTGGTAAACCCATCTCAAATCGGTTGTTGACATGAAATCTGTGTCAGTCAAGTTATATCAAGCAAAGGTATCTAGATAGTGGAAATACATGAAGGAGTGCGTTGTATTTAGTTGTATTGATAAGGTCAAGTATGAAGTCAGCTTGGAGAGCTTTTAATTTACAAAAATATAAATAAATTGTCTCTATCTAAGTGTCTGATCCAGGATCAGCACCACGGACAGAGACCTGCTTGTGTTTCAGCACCGCGGAGAGAGCCAGGACCACATTGATACAGCAGTATGGGCACTAGGCTACAGACTGCATACTGTAAATGCACAGAGCAAAACAACATGCAATGGGCGGAAAGAAGGTGAGATCACACAGTCGATAAACCAGGAAGTATACCAGCCCAGTATAAAACACGCCCAAATGTATTCTCAGCTAATGTCGGTAGGAATTTCCTTGAATATCACAAATCAGTGTGAAGAGGCCTAGCACTTAGTGCTAATAAAGGCCTGTGGCCGAGTTAGACCAGGCCTTGTTTTGAGCTGTTTGAGTCTGTACGTGACGGTGTCACTGTATGACTCACCAACTCTCCATCCACACAGCCTTGTGTTTGTCCCCCTCTGTCGGAGAGGCTGGCGACTGCAGGGGACGTTATAGAGCAGGCAGTGATGGTCAGACAAGCAGACAGGGCGATTTTAAGTAGCATTGATTGTTTCAGTCCTGAGGGATAAAAAGAGAAAATATATTATGCTAGAATATCCAGATGGGAACTGAGATTTGACAGGATGAGAGGGGATCCAGAGGCTCCAATCCAGAGTCATTACAGCCATGCTTTATCCTGGGTGCTCCCAGTCCTTACTTTCAGAAATAAGTTACCTTTCTAGGTTGTGTTTTATGTGTGTTAGCAGAGCACATGAGTAACTTTTAGGCCCTATCAAACTAAGGTTCCAAATATCATCTTTCCTGTATAAGAGTTAAATCTATTATTAAGCCAAAATGTATGAGAACTCCTTTAAATGCAGAAAACATCACAGTCAACTACGCTAGTGGCTCTGTGAGGCGGTGCTAGACGTGCTTGGAAGTTAAGCACTAACATGCTCACTGTGTCAATGCTTACATGTTATTTAGAGGTATAATGTTTACCATAATTTCCAAAGTGCTGGAAAATTAATTAGCTAAGATTTTGACCAGATGATTGTACTACATGATCACCAAAGTCAGTAGGATTTAGCATCTGGGAACCATGAATGTCTGTATAAACTCTTGTGCTATTCTATCTAGTAGATGTTAATCTATTTCACAGGATTTCTTTTTTGTGCAACATAAACATTTAGAAAACCACCAAAATTATTTCTACATCTGGGCACTATGAATATCTTTACCAAATTCATTAAGTAAGTAAATAAGTTGTCAAGGCATGTCACTAAAAACCAAAATGTCAACCTGCTAGTGGCACTTGAGGAAAAGTCAGGAGATCTCTGATGAATTCATCCTCTGGGGGGCCATGAACATGTGTGCAAAATGTCAAACCATTCAATAATGAGATATTCAGTCTTTAGATCCTGCTGAACAGTAGCTTTCAATAAAGAGAAAGCCAGCTGAAAAAATGTTTATGTATGAATCGTGCTTTCATACATTCACTCCTTCTTTGTCCACTTCTTGCTCTTCTTCTGCTGTCCTAAGCCATTACTGGCTTACACTCAGTACAAGGCCTTGGATCAAACCGCCCAGCAACACAATGCAATAATTGGTTTCTGTGTCCAATTTCTGTTTAATCAATAACCCGTCGGCCACCAGTGGCTGAGGGGATACATAACAAACAACAAGCAGACACATCTTCACAGCAGCCATTTCCAGATGGGTGCCTTCCTCTCCCTGTGGCGGTGTGTGGCCATCGCACTGGCTCTGTCCACCATTTCCCATGCATTACATCCAGTGCACGAACACAAAGGGCCTCCCTTTAAGAGCCCATCAAGCGTGAACACAGAGCCAAACACAAATTAAAGAGAGGGTGGTTAGGCTGTCTGAATGCCGGTAAATGTACTTGAGGGTGACAGGTCAAGGGATCAAGAGGTTATGCAGGATGGGAGAGAAAATGTGCATGGCGTTAGTATTTTCACTGAAACAAAATAAACATTTTCTGCTACCTACATTTAAAATGTATCTAAATTGAGAGTTAAATTTAACAGCTAAATCTGCAAATTTTAAATTCTTGTATAATTATAAATAATGTGTTCAAAATTGTTAAAAAATGTGCGGTAATCATTCTTACAGTTGATATATAACAATTTAGAAAAGGGTAACTGAGAGTTTTAATGTTTCCAAAGACACATAGTGTGAGATATTTGGCCACCATTTACTATTACTGCAGATAAAGTTCATTAATAAGGAAAATGCAGTGCTGCGAAAAGAACTAGAACCAAATCCACAGAGGTTATGAGTCCAGAAATACAATTTCCCTTACTCGCCCACTGCTATAAAAAACAATTACAGAAATCACTGGTGCATGAACATTGTAATTTGGGCCAAATAAAATCCCATTTCTCGTTTTGTGACGAATGACACTGCTCGGAGAGAGGGCACCAGGATAAAATGAAAGTTTAAAGCCACGCAGATGCTGTTCTTCAGTTCATTAGGGTTTCCAGTTTTATTGGTTCATCATTATGACATGATAAATTAAGACATAACAAAAGACAGAAGTCATCCAGTTAGATTGAGAACGTCCCCAATAGCTCAAACAGACTTGCTGCTTGGCACATGCAAGATTAAGGCTTTTAAGAGCAATGACATCAATGACACGTAAAAGTTCCAGTTTTAATGAACAATGTTAGAAAGAAGACAACCTGCTTTTATAACCGTTATGCTGTCAGCTTCATTTTTCCGTCACAAATGGCTCAATTAGACATAATATTAACTTCACCGTCAGTGTTACTGAAACCTGCAGGCACAAAATCCTTATTTTTGTTTTCAATGTATTTCTTTCCACTTATTCTGTCACACTACAACAAAGAAAATAAAATCACATGAAGGGTCACAGTTTCATTGATTGTCCTGGCAGTACCGATGGCAGTAAACTGATGTGAATGCACAAACAAGGTTTTATTTACTTTCAGGAGTGTGAAGCTTCACTTCACCACATGACAGGGCAGGTCGATCATCATCATTCGTCACGGAAGGGTGGTGGGGGGGGGACAAACCAAATGTGAAACAACAAACACACACAAACAATCTCATTCAGTAACCCGAACACACATACATGCACACACACGCGAAGCCTTCCCACGTCTCTCACTGGTCCTTGTCATGGTTAAGGGCCCGGTTAACAGCTGATGGAACAAAGAGAAGAAGAAAAAAATCCACTATATTTTGCAGAAAGGTAAAAAACAGACTCAACAGATTATTGTGTGTGAGGATGTATTTTTACAGTGTGGTGTGTGAGGGTAGGGCTGGGCGTGTGAGTCTCTAACTGACTGAATTTCTGTCACATCAATAAATTTGATACATTCATTCCTTTATATAGGCTGCCACCTACCCCTGTAAAGCAGCTGAAAGTACAAAAGAAACCCCTACGGGCATGAGAGCACAGCCAGCCAGAGTTAGCTGTGTGGGTTCTTTTCATAAGTCGAGTTACGGCTTTGTTTCAGCTAGCTGTTTTAAGTGATGTTATTACGTGTGTCCGACACACGATACAGATCAAAGCAAAGCTTATAGTGGCATAGCGCAGTTACACTAACGCTAGAGACTTAGAGGTAGAGAGTGTGGTTGCACTCAGGGAGCCAGGAGTGGTAGTTGTGGCAGTGGAGTCAGGTTAGCTCAGTAGTTAGTTCAGTATGTTCAGTATTTTTATTTAAAAAAAAAGAAAAAGAAATGAATGCTACAGTTCTTCCAAAAACCGAGCAGAGTTCAAACTTTCTTTTTTTACCAGCAGCCCCAAAGTTAGCTACGCAGCAGTCGACAAGCTTTTGTTTAAATATTTTACTGTATTTCCACAACAGTTATTATAGCTTATTTTTATAGTCAGAAGAGATGTAAATTAGAGCCTATTTCACCTTGATTTTCCTGTTTTAGCAAATATATACCTAGAAGTTTTATTAGCAACTCAATATGTTACATGAACATTACTCAGCATCATAATTTACGTTTATTGTTCAGTACAAATATTCAATAAGATATTTACTGTGAGGATAATCTTGTAAACAGCTGTATTTAATACGTCATAATAAGGTATATGAGGTAATTAACTGGGATATTAATTTCAGGTGCCCAGCCCTATGTGAGGAAATGCAGAAGCTAGTCTGCTGTGAGGATAAGTAGCTGCAGTACATAAGGATAAATATAGATATGGCTGTACTTGCATGTACACTGTAGTTGTCTCACCCTCCTTTGTGACTGTCTCAGTT